TGTCGCCCATCGTTGGGGACGCCCTTAACGGGGCGATGAACGTACCCAGACGAGCGAGAGTGATCATAAAAAGGCGGTCGCTAGGCATCTTTCCAACAAGAGGTTAAAGCCCTTAAAAGGGTGCACTGGTGTGCTACCGATACTCGAGCAAGGGGTCTACATGCAACGATAATGGCCAACACGGGGACTTGACTTTGTGCTTAAAAAACCCAAGCTTGAATCATTGGTGGGTAGATGTGTCTCCTTAAGCTAAAGCAAACGTTTGTTTTAAAGAAGGACAATCTTCGTTACGGCTGGTGTTGGCATCTATATATAACATAGAATATGAAATCTAAAAGGTGGTGCATGGGTTTTTAAAAAGAAAATGATGAATGTTCCACGGGGTTAGCTTACACAGCATAACACTTCTTCGAAAACACAACCCCTGTTGAGATGTGTCGGAAGTAAAATTCTCGATCGTTCAAAAAAGAAAAGAAAAGGGAGGGTCAATTTGTACATTACTCGAATATATAGATCAGGCAAACTACGTTATGTAAACAATCTGGTGGTATAATGGCGTGTATATGTCCACTTTATATACAACTTTTCTGTCAGCTCTATCATATATTGCTTGTTCTGGAAGTGCAGACTGAAGAAATGGAGATAAATGTTACGTGAAAACTACCAAGAAAGTTTGTACAGAGCATCTCCAAATTAAAAGTCCCTTAAAATTTATTTGGTAATAAACCAAATAATCGTTTGTAAGCTCAATAATCTTCTACCAGGGAAAAATAATAATATCCAGATATAGCCGTTCGGTATTCCAACTCTCTCTCTCTCTCTTTTGAGTATGTTGAAATACATGATAGTTAGAGCATAATCATTGGTTTACCAAGTAAATTTTGAGAAGCCTTTTTTTCCCAACACACCTCTTACATTATACACTCCGTATAATCCGATGAATTAGGCCTGAAAACGTGGAAAAAATTATTGTGCTAGCTGTGGGCTCGAACAAGTCTCTGCCAATACTGTTGCTCTTCTCAACCGTCGAGCATACTAGCTACCAGCAGAGGAAAACCAGCTAAAGCCTGATTGCTCAACTGTTCTATCGGTGGATAGCACATCAATACACGTCGCGTACCTACTTGTGTTGGCTATAACTTGGTAGTCCTCTTCTCTCTTAATAAAAAAAACGTGCCAAGGCACAATTATGAAAAAAATATAATCTTAATAACCCTATAGCACTCGATAGTTATGAAAATTTAATTTTAGTAATCCTTTAGCACTTGGTAAGGATACTCCCAACATAAGGGATGCCCACCTCACCTGCACACAACCAACTAATAATAGGTTACTCTTGCAACAGTCTAATTATTTGTACGTGTGGTAATAGGTTCAATAAGTTAGAATAGTTTTATTCAACCCACCCTTTCTTCCTCATCGGCTCCCACATGCACAACGCCGATCTCTTCACCCTAACACCATCCATTGCTTGCCAACCAGCAAGGGTAAGTCGCCACCACTGCGTCTACACCTTTAAGCCATGACATTGCCAAGGTCATCTGCTCCTCTAATTTGCCGCTTCCCCATGCCAACACAACCATCTATCTCTTGCTCCTAGCCTAGGTCTGATCACCATCCTCCCTGTCCTATCTCTCAATGCATTGCGGCGCATTAGTCAAATCCAGAGGTGACGATGTTGCCTTGAAGGTGGTGTTTGTTGGCTTGTCCAACCAACAACACATCCCTTTTCCCTCTTCGCTCCCCGTTCTGCCCGCATGCATCGCCATTCACCAACCATTCACAGGCGAACGTATATTGAAGCACAAGGAGCATGAACCAGATGCCCTTGCTGCTAGACGAAGTCATATCGAATAGTGAAGGGCCCGTCCTCCGTCCTCCTCGACTAATGCATCCTGAGGCAGCAAGTTGTTGTTTTGCTCCCTACGTGTACATCAACGTTGGGTGCCAATTGCTCCCTTGTGCGCTCCTCACTCTCCCTACTCTCCTTCCCAGCATTGACAGATATGAGCTACGCCCTCCTCCCCTACTAGTGGTTGAGATGTGTCCTTCCCCGCGCCATGCGATCTCAAGCTCTGACTGCAGGGCAGAAGTAAGGAAAAGAAAGAGGCGAACAAGTAGCCAATCACATGGATAGGGCCTACACAACACGTGGAAAGTCACACTATAGAGACCCTGGCTAGATCTATCAATAACCCTTTCTCTCCTATGACTCCTAATTCATCACATGATCATGCATATCTTTTTTATTTAATTTTTATGTACAACACTTTGCTCATCCTATGACTAAATTAAAGAGAAGATGGAGGCCATCACAATCTTGACTGAGAAGGGATGCTCTACGAAGGAGAAAAAATGATCAGCCAGGGTCACTGCTATAGCAGTGTCATCCACCGTGGACATTTGAATGTCAAGCCACATCCAAGAAGTCGACACCCAAGTTGGGAGCTCCTAGAGGAAGAATCCACTCCTAGTTTGCAATTGTTAGCTTCAGTTGTATGTCCCCTAAAGTTAATTTTGTCAGCTTCACTAGTAGTTAAAGTTTGTTAGTTGTTAGATCCAGCTCTTTTGTATCAAGTCAAAATTCGAATTTTTAGGGGTAGCTTCACCAGTATGTCCTGTCATTTAGTTGTGCAGGTGTGCCAGTGGTCGTGATAATTGTGCCAATCGAGCTATTAGTAGAGTTGTTAGTCGTGTTGTGTTCAACCTAGTTGGGCTCAATTGAGCGAGTAGTTAGTCATGTAGTAGGTTGTTAGTGGAGTTGAGTGGCTAGTTTTTTTCCTTCTAATAAAATTTATAGCAAAGCTTTTGCCGTTCTTTCGGGGGGGGGGATTGTCACCAGCTTATATAAAGTTGACATATGTCTCGTTGAGAGTGTCCTAAGGTGCTACGATATATGAACATAGAAAGAAATGAACGATCACTTCATCTCAAAATAGACTTCTACAACCTGGGCTCATAATAGTATAAAGTAGTGTCATGTAGAAAAAAGGATCAAGTGCAAAATATGATATCCCAATTGTGAGGCCAACAATGAAGGTCAGTACATATACAAAACATAAGAACTCCAAGTTCATCCGCCTACACGTCAGATCCACCTGGGTCTTGCCATCCTTGTAGAAAAACCTTATCATTAGGGTCAATTAATAGTTCCATACACCACAGGGTAATTGTATGGTTGGCATCTCACATAGAGAAATTCTAAATTATAATGATACCATCATTGCATCAAAGGAAAGATAAATAATGTTTATCATCTAGCAGGGAGTAATCACCCGCAGTATGTAAACCACATGCTCTGGTGGAGCTAGAGCCAGGTGTAGAGGAAGATATCCTAGAATACTGTCTGAAGAAATATAATTGCGGAAATCTAGTCCCGGTCTGGACGTGGTCTCTTGTTGACTGAAAACAATAGTTTTCCGAGTTTAATTTGTACTATATGCATGACCAAACAAATTAAACAGTCGTCCTCTACATCCTCCAATCACTCAGCTCCAAGTGTAGTTTAGTGGCGCTGGATGACATGTTCTGGTCACGTAAGCTTAGCGTTGTTTGCACCTTCTACCAGCCTAATGACAAGGGTACCTAACAATTTGTATGACAATGAAGCCTAACCAAGTTACTAGTTTATCTCACGAACTCAAGCCAACCAATGGCGTACGTGCAGGTGGATCTATCCGAACTTAGTTGAAAACATTCTCAATTAATTTATTAGTTCCCACGTAGTAATATTTGTAGGCTAGCTGCACCCCGACCGAAGCAAGTTCAGCTTTTTTTTTTCAACCGAAATAGTGTTTTTCTCCCAAAATTTCAACATAAACAATACTTTATTTCATCCCAGCCGAACACTCCCGTCTCGAATGCAGCCGAAGAAATGTTCGGTATTCCTCGTCCTTAAACCTTAATCATAGCTGCACCCCACTCAATGAACATTTGCAATAAAATCGAGCCGACCTAGGTTACTATACTGCGTAGCAGGGGTCCTGCGCGATGCCATAAGGTGGGCATCTCCATCAGGTGGTCAAGGAAAAAATGAGAACGTCTCCATCAGCCGCCTCGCTCCAAACGCGCGCGCGCCGCCCCTGCGGTAAGGTTCCAGCCAACTTCTACCCGCCCAAAGCTTGGCCTGCCGCCGCGTGTCGTCCAGGTCCAGCCCGCCGGCTCTATCCCGTCCAATCAATTTCTTTAATTAGCCCTTGTTTAGTTGAAGTCCAAAATTCCAAAAAATGCTACAGTACCTGTCACATCGAATGTTTGCGGCTCATGCATAGAGCATTAAATGTAGACGAAAAAAAACTAATTGCACAGTTTGGTGGGAAATTGCGAGATGAACGTTTTGAGTCTACTTAGTCCATGTTTGAACAATAATTGCTAAATAAAAACGAAGGTGCTACAGTAACCCTAAATTCTAAATTCATGGAACTAAACAAGGGCTCAGCCATTTCTACTGCGGCGCAACCGCAATCTGCCGGGCATAATGAATACTCCCATGTCGTCACCGTGACCCACACACGTTAGGGGCAACATGGCTTTGTTTGTTCACTTGCTTCTTGTGTTTAGATTGAGGTTAGGAATCAGTATTTAGTAATGTAGCATTTTCATTTATATTTAATAATTATTATTCAATCATGGCTTAACTAGGCTCAAAAGATTTGTCTCATAATTTACAATCAAACTGTATAATTAGTTATTTTTTTATCTATATTTAATACTCCGTACATATGTTTAAAGATTTGATGTGATAAAAGAGAGTGAAAAAAATTACAATCTAAATCAGGCCCCTGTATATATACAGACCTCTCCCACCTCCCTACTACCAGCCTCAAAGCAGCCAACAAGACCTAGCTGCCTACTACTAGCTAGCTAAGCCTGACTGCTACTCAGCAACCACCTGGGTGTCGAGCTCGCTCCAGCTCCTCCGATCCATCCGTCCTGTTCTGCTCGATCGGGAGCCCGGAGGTTGATCGATCAGTCGAGCTAGCCTAGCCACCGATCGACGCATGGCGAAGGTCCACCCCAACGTGCTGCCGTCGTCGGTTGAGAGAGCCGCCGCAGCGGCTGCTGGGCCGCCGGCCGCGGGCGGCGAGGAGGAGGAGGCGACGTCGCTGACGGTGTGGCGCAAGTCGCTGCTGTTCAACTGCAGGGGGTACACGGTGTTCGACGCCAGGGGCGACCTCGCCTACCGCGTCGACAGCTACGACGCCGAGGCCGAGGTCGTGCTCATGGACCCCGCCGGCCGCGCGGCCTTCACCGTGCGCCGCAAGCGCCTCAGCCTGTCCGGCGAGCGCTGGCTCATCTACGCGGGCGAGGAGACGTGGCGGCCCGTCTACGCCGTCAAGCGCGGCGGCGGCGGCAAGTCGATGGCGCGCGTGACGCCGTGCGCCATGGGCGCCGCTGCAGCTGCAGGGGCTGCCGGGGCCGGGTCCGTGGCCTCGTACGAGGTGGAGGGGTCCTACGCGCGCCGCCGCTGCGTGGTGTACGACGCCGAGCGCCGGGCCGTGGCGGAGGTGCAGCCCAAGGAGGCGGTCGGCACGGACGTGTTCCGCCTGGTGGTGCAGCCGGGGGTCGACGTGTCGCTCGCCATGGCCGTGGTGGTGGCGCTCGACCAGTTGTTTGGGAGGCCGTCGCTCCTCAGGAGCTGGTCCTACTCGCCATAGATTCATGTGTTCTTTGTTCAATTCAATCTAGAAAGATTTTTGCCCCTGGACTTGGGGTTGTGAATTATCACTAGAGATGCTGAAAATTCGATCTGCCTGGCATCGTCGTGGGCAAGAGAGCAATTCCTGTCCTTGCGTGCTTGCTCCAAAACACCCTGGTCGGGCCAATTGAGATTTTTTTTTTTCTCTCTTCCTCTCTCTCTCTCTGAGTGCGTCAAATGAAATCCCTCTCGATTCTCTTTGGTTGGCACAGATCCAACAAAAGCCATGAATCCTGTAAAGAGGGATGGACTCGGCCCCTTCGAGTTGCAGAATTGAAAAACACGGTTCTAACTGAATTGTTGTGAGAGAGAAACTGTTCCAGCTAAAAAAAAAACTGAATAAACTGAATATGAGATAAAGCGAACGGGACGTAAATACCTCGAGAAAAAAAGGACTACCAGATAATTTGTTTTTATATATATATATATACTACTATATACTGCTATCTGATTTCTGAAGGTGAAATATTGTCCTTTGTGTACTTGTACTAGTATCTTGTTTGATCCTTGCGTCTTGATCCACTCGAGTGCTATTTTTGGGCACGTCAGGCTGTCGAAACCAAAGGCAACACCGACAGCTTCCTGCGTCGTCTTCTACTCCGGCAGTAAACACGGGCACGGCGAATCTCACGCTTGGAGCAACGATTTTGTTCGCTTTTGCATGTGGGCTGGCCAGAGAGGACAATCGAGTCGTTTCTCGCCCGGGACCCTACCATCCTGGAGAGACGTCCCACACCTGGTCCTGCGGGCCTGGACGGCTGGACTTCCGGTGGAAGCTCAGACTGCGGGCCTCAGAGATGCAAGAGGCAGGCAGGTTGGTGTCTCTCGCAGTCTCGTTGCTTTCCAGGTACCACGTGGTCATTCAGTCCATGATGATAGAGCCGAGCGCCGAAAGAGTACACACAGATACGCATCCTATATCTGATCGTCGGCGTTTTGCGTTTACATGTAGGTTGTGCAACGAATCTTTTCACGGTTCTTGGATATAGCACAGTGTCCACGGGGCAGGTTATCTTGAGCAAGGAAAGTGTTCAAAAGATTTACGGAGATTTGGATAGGCTAGGGCATATGGTATATCATTTTCTTATCTCTCGGTTACGCTGTCGTAGTTTTGCGAATCACGGTACGCTCACATACATATGTACATGTACAATCACTCATATGAACGTATGCGCACGCGTGCACTGATCATATTTTTATGATTAATCTGGCAGATCAGATAGATCTTGATATTGTCTTGTAATATCTTAGTCTGATTCCTCACTTGTGGAGATGAAACAAGATGTTTTTTTATTATCTAAAAAAAGGTAAATCTCGATATTAACGGAGTTACCATGTACCCGATCAAGTCGATGAATTAAATCTAAATGAACATGTTACACCATAAGAATCTAACAAGCTGAGATAGGCTCAGTTCACGCTACACTGGTTTTGCACACAGTTTTGTGTAAAAGGACTTGAGAGATCTCGTGAACACAACAAAGCAAGGGGCTTCAGAAGCTGGTCTGGGGTTTTTTTTTAGCAGAAGCAAGCTGGGCTGGTGGTGCCTGGAGGTATCAATCCGACAATCCGACTCGTGCGCGATTGTGTATTGGGCCACATAATAGATCGGGATACGAGTTGTCGCTTATACACATTTCAGAACACAGCAACAGTAGGCCCAACAAACTAGATATTCTTCCAGGGAAGCCCAAGTAATCTTGTGTGCCCAGAAAGCATTAGCAAGCCAGGCCGAAGCCGAAGGCCCAAAAGCTTAGAGAGTTGTACGATTATACTTTCCGAGTTCCGACGCTTTTTCGATTTTATAATAACTAGCAAAAACCCCGCGCGTTGCCGCGGGAGGAACAAAGCTTCCAACAATAGCGCTACATTTAGGCATATCTTATTGTGTACCGAGTATATTTTAGATGGACTTTCATATTGCACCCCAAAAAAATAGTTAACTATCTCCCCCCTATGATGAGCAGTAGGACAATATATTTATGTTAGAACTGCATATGTCACTTTTGACGAAAGACGAATAAATCAATTAACAAATGATGTCATGAAAGTTCGCATTGTTTGTCATAAATGCACTGGAAAAAGGGGGAATCTTACCATTCCTGATAAGCTACAACTGCACTATATGCATAGGCACATAAACGGACACTGGAGTGTATGGATGCCAGATCGGCTCCTACTACAGCAAATGGGCTTAAGGCCCTGTTTAGATTTAAAATTTTTTACCCCAAGGTGTCACATCGAATCTTGCGGCACATGCATGAAGTACTAAATGTAGACAAAAAAAAAACTAATTGCACAGTTGGGTGAGAAATCGCGAGACGAAACTTTCGAACCTAATTAGTCCATAATTAGACACTAATTACCAAATACAAACGAAAGTGCTACAGTAGCCCAACAGTAACCAAACCTAAAAAATTTTAGGAAGTAAACGCGCCCTAAGAAGAATAGCAAGACCAGCAAATGGCACGCAACCGTCTCCAGGAAAGTACCTTCTCTCCCAATCATATGCTGGGTCAGTCGTTTCCATCCTTTGAGAAGCATCACAGGGCACTTGTAGAAGGGAGTTAATGTGGTCAGTATTCCAAGCGTAAACGCGGCTGGTAACAGTGCACCAGTAATCTGGAAAAAAGGAAGTCATGTATATCAGTTTATTGTACATTGAAAAATAATCAGAGAAGTGGCATCTCAATGCGAAGCACTGGAACAGTGGATTATATTATTCAAAATGATTGTCTGAATGCATGCTTTCTTGCAAATGTTATCTCAAGTGAAGCATAAAGAGTGATTCTTAGGTAAAGGCGTAATGCTAAAAGAACAAAAGTCTATTGTGTTGAGGTGTAAATTTGAAAGATATAAACAGCGAATAGTGAACAGGATGCAGACCTTATCTCATATGGCTCCCGTCAGGAGGTTTCTGAAAGATGAAGGTCCTCCATAATTGAGAAATAGGAGTGTAAAAGCAAATATGCTTCCAGTGATACGGGAGGTTTTTGAAGACGAAGGTCCATAATTGAAAAATAGGACTGGGAAAGCAAATCTTTCACGTCGCTGACTACTGTACAGCTTCCAGGGGTAGTACTCCATGTTCCATCTGAAGTTCAGAGTAGCAAGGTAAGCAATTTTTCAAAGATATACTAAGAAAAGACCACAGAGATAAGCATAAGAAACTCATAGAAAGGAAAACTTACCACAAATAAAGCAATGAACAAATGGCTTTCTTTGCCTTCTCCACTGCATGAAAATGTAGGTAAATATGCTTCCCGGGATGCCAATTAACAACCGTATGATGAAGACTGCAACAGGAGCAATAAAGAGAGGTATCTTAGCAATAGTGTAAATTACAGAAGCATATAAGATAGGGTAATACAAATATGCTTCATTAACTTCAACTATGAAACCGGTCAAAACATTGCCAAACCGGACAACTTTGGTCCTCGGCGTATGATGAAGACATCTTACATTTCAAATGAAAAACTCAAAATACAATGTCAGATGAAGATAATTTCTATATGTAAATTATAGACCTCGATGAGATCTCAACTTATAGTTTTGATTTTTTTCATTTGAGGACAGTAAGATACTCGAAAAATATATAAAAATTTCAGCACCATATTTTGTCGCATCTTATATGAGACTCAAATTTAAAAAATAGAAAACCCTTTGATACGATGTCGGATGAAGATAATTTTATATGTAAATTGTAGACCTCAATGAGATCTACAACTTTTGAAATAAAGTTTTTCATTTGAGAACGTTAAGATGCTCAAAAAATAATTTAAATTTCGGCGCCTCCTAAAAATAGAAAACCGCTTTTGAAACCGGCCGAGGACCAAAGTTGTCCGGTTTTGATAGTTGGAGGGTGTTTCTTGACCGGTTTCATAGTTGAAGGTTGAAAATCATACTTTGGCGCAAGTTCAGGGTTGTAAAGTGTACTTAACCCTATAAGATATATGGTGTTCGTATTGCCTAAGCTAAGAAACACTTATAAGAACCAAAAAAATGCAGAAGCAAAATTCTATTGCAGTAAAATTTGCTTGCAATTTGTATTCTGCTTTGTATTCACCTAAATTAATTAATATCATCTGAGTTTTATATAAATTTTGCACTTCAGTTTCAATATGAAAAATGTGTACTTCCCAGGTATCAGATCGTTCCTTAACTTATTTGTTTTAGAAAATGTTAGAGAAGAATTAGCACCAGAAACATATAACCCAAAAAAGAGGTAGCCTCTACCGGTATACCTTTAATATGTGAACTGTGTTCTTGTGTAGCTAATTGGATTGCAAAATCATTGCAAGGACAGTTACAGGGAAACATTGTTGTATGGAGCCGACCACAAAACAGGCGAAGGCAGCGGTGAGGTGAAGCAGAAGACATTTTTTTTCGGCCTCTCCTAGTGAAACTCTTTTTTTCGGCCTCTTGCAGTGAAACTCGAAAGTCAGTAAGCAACATTTTTGTAGGAATCCATAGAATTTAAGAAATACTGTACCAATACATCACTACTGGGGTACTAATCATGCAATAGGCAATGTCCACTATACTTGCAAAGTGTTCTTTGGCTTTGACGCGAAATTTTGAGGAATGACTTGGTTGAATACATGTAGCCTTGTTAAGGTAGCCATAAAGCCATCACTTATTACTTGGCCCTAATTTTTATATTAGGCAAAAAAAATTCGGCCTCTCGCAGTGAAACTCGAAAGTCAGTAAGCAACATTTTTGCAGGAATCCATAGAATTTAAGAAATACTGTACCAATACATCACTACTGGGGAACTAATCATGCAATAGGCAATCTCCACTATACTTGCAAAGTGTTCTTTGGCTTTGACGCGAAATTTTGAGGAATGACTTGGTTGAATACATGTAGCCTTGTTAAGGTAGCCATAAAGCCATCACTTATTACTTGGTCCTAATTTTTATATTAGGGAAAAACAAACTCATAAGAGAATCCAAACAT